TTCCGCGAGGAGGTTTTACTATGGTTCGAAACATTTCTGTCAGCAGCTGTTTCTCGCGATCGGCTGGACGGATTTGTCTGTGGTTCGGTATACGTATTGCTATTGGGCTGCAGATGATGCAGAACGTTTTTGTTTAATTGCATATGTGTTTATGGGCGTCGAAATAAAAGGTTTTTTAAGTGCTCCGGACACCCCCGCCATGCTGAAAATGGTAATTACCATGTTGTTAAGGAATGGGGCGGTTGCAGTTTTGGGTCTTAGCATTCAAAAGGGGTCAAACAGAGGGGTGTCTGCTTCCGATAAAAATGTTGGGTGACGGCGCAGCAATGACGGCGCGGGATGACGGCGGGGATAATGGCGCGGGTGACGGTGCAGGCTGTCAGACTGTGAGACACGTTAATCAACAGTCCATACCGAACCAACCGTCAGTAGCCATCAAACATACAAACATATTACGCACATAACTTCATACTACACACAAACAAATAACCTAAACCAATAGAACACAAAAAAACCCGGAGGTTTGAAATCTACGATTTCCCTTGTTTCTCTTTTACATGTATTTACGAATAAATCCACGGTCTAATGAGCATTAGCATGATAGCAGTTTAAGGCATCTCTAATCTCCAAGCAGATATTGGGTGGAAGCTCTGGCAGCCAAACACTTGGGGTGTATGAAACATCACTATCTTCAGGCTTCAGCCCCAACTTAAGATCTCATAGATCTTCTACGCTTAACAACATGTTGCAATTGCTATATATTTCTGCAACTTATAGAAAGGCAAAGATGATGATATTGAACTGTCTTTTAAATCTCCAAGCAGATCCTTGGGTGGCAAAAGACAGTATCAAATTGGCCAGGCCAGAGAGGGTCCAATATACCACCCAAGCAGACCTCACTCACTCACTCAAGGCCGCATGCTTCCATGGGGAGCGTAGCGCCTCGGCATATGGATCTCCAGGTGGTTCTGTCCTGGGCTGCCTCCCACGCAGTGTCGAGGTTGAGGGAGACAGTCAGAAGATCATCCTTCAGTTGATCGCACCAGGTTCGTCGTGGGCGGCCTCTAGGACGGGACCATGTAGTGGGGGCCGACTCTCTCAGTAGAGCAGCAGGCTCCAGGGGGGGCACCGCCCGAGCAATATGGCCAAAGAGCCGGAGCCTGGCCAGCCGTATCTTACTGGTCAGGGGAGGCTGTTTGGTGATGTCACGCAGGGTGGCGTTGGATACTCGATCAAACCACCTGATGCCGAGCAGTCTTCTAAGGCATCTGGTGTCGAAGGCGTTAACACGGAGTTCATGGGTGGCTGTTAACGTCCACGTCTCAGCGTTGTACATGAGGATGGATAGTACCAAGCTGTTGTAGAGCCTAAGTTTGGTCTGTAGTGAGAGCTTCCGGTTGCTCCAGACGTTGTCCAGGCTAGCCATCGCAGCGGAGGCACGGCCGATGCGGAGATGGATATCGGCGTCGCTCCTGCAGTCCGAGGTGATTGTGCCGCCGAGGTACGAGAACCGCTCTACAGATTCAACCTGGCGGGCGTTGATCACAGGACCCGGGCGGGGGGCCTCGAAGTCACTAAGGCACTGTACCTTGGTCTTTTCCCAACTGACCATCAACCCAAGTGGTTGGGTTTCCGTGTCCATGGCCTGTAGGGCAAGTTGGAGGACTTCGAGTACCTCGGCCAGGATTGCCACATCATCTGCAAAATCCAGGTCTGTGACGGTGAGATCACCAAAGCTGACACCGCAGTTGCACTGCTCCACAGTTCTCCCCATGACGTGGTCTATCGCAACGTTAAAGATGGTTGGGGCTAACACACAGCCCTGTCGGACGCCGCTTTTGATGACGAAGCTGTCAGAGAGTAGACCGTTTACTTTCACACGGGAGGACGTGTTAGAGTACAGTAGAGAGAGCAGGTGAACCAGCTTGGCAGGGACACCTAGGGCCTTGAGTAGAAGCCAGAGAGCATTCCTGTCCACCGAGTCGAAGGCCTGTTTCAGGTCGACATAGGCTGCATACAGCGGTTTCCTGAATTCCCGTCTTTTCTCGGCAAGTAGGCGGAGAGTGAGAATCCTGTCCACCGTGGAGCGGCCAGGGGTGAAACCGCTTTGCTCCTGTCTTTGCTTGCGGAGGAGAAGAGGTCGCAGCCTTGCGAGCAGGATGTTAGCAAACACCTTCCCGGGCACGCTGAGCAGGATGATCCCTCTATAGTTGCTGCATACATCTTCGGGCCCTTCTTCCAAAATGGAAGGATGACTCCCAGGAGCCAGTCCGCTGGAACAGTGTCGCTCCTCCAGATGATAGTGAAGAGCTGTTGGAGCTGTCCTGCAAGCGAGTAGCCACCATGTAACAGCAACTCTGGGGTGATGCCATCATCCCCTGCAGCCCTGCCGGGTTTAAGCTTCCCTATTGCCTTGACCACTTCCTCCAAGGTGGGGGACCCGTGGGAACAGAGTCGTCCTCAATGGCCGTGGCAGCAAGTGCATCCAGGAGAGGAGAAGGGGGAGGCGCTGGGCGGTTGAGCAACGTCTGGAAGTGCTCCCTCCAGCGCTCCAGCTGTTGCTCTGGGGTGTCAGGGATGGTACCATCCATGGCTTTCACAGCAGCAGTAGACGAAGATGTTTTCCCCGATAGAGTCCTTAGAGTTCTGTAAACAGAGCCTTGGTCACCTCTACAAGCAGACCCTAGGGTGGCCAAAGACCCCATTCGCCAAATGGATACTGCCTGGCCAATTTGATACTGTCTTTTGCCAATCTAGGGTTTTCTTTGAGATTTTCTTTTAATAGTATGATATCTCTACACTAGAACTACATTGTACTTAGCATCTCTCTTTTGGTAACAAGTGTGCCTCCTGGTGGTGTAAGAAGGGACTGCAGAACCCCCGAAAGGCTGCATGTCTAACACTTCAAGACTGGTTGGAAGCACATGAAGCATTAGACTAAGCAAGTTATACACTAAAATCTGTGTGAGAGACCAAGGGACAGTCTGCACACTACAGCAGATGGCAATCAGCACCAAGGACAGGTCTACATGATTGATGGCTACCTTTCTCCCTTCCACTGGTGTCATGCAATACTGACATGCATTGTCACCATCAAATTACACATCAGCACAGCAAGTGTGGGGATACTAAAATGAAGAAGATGTAAAATGAAGAAGATCTCAAACAACTTGTAATGTCCACAAACATCTTTAATAAAGCATTTCAGACACATACACTCTCAGATTATAAGCAACAAAGGTCGCATTCAATTGATTGGATTAAAGAAAATTGTACCTTGAAAAGGTACTTTGACACCTTCATTCATCAGTCATCATGATTAGAATCAGTTTCAAGCTACTACCTTGTTTCTATAGTTTCCATACTTCATAATTTCAAACTTTTGAAAACAGCAAAATTTGATAGCAATGCTTTGGTATGATATGATCATATAAAAAGAATTCTTAACTCACTTGGTTATCAAAATACAGTACTGATTATCATATTCATTAACATGATCTTTGGCTATCTATGTATGATACAGTTATACTATATAACGTTACATATATGACATGCAATCCAAATACAAAACATTTGTAGTATTTGAATCCATTCTTGCTTAAAAATATATCAGGTCCTATCAAATAGGAATATTGACTGCATGAACTAAAAGATAAGTCACTCGACATCATTTTAGAATTCCAGTCAATTGTCACTTTTCAAGGAGTATATATACAGTTTACCGTTGGTTGAACCATCATACACAATTACCAATTTGGAGGTATCTAAAAGAATCTGCATATGTTAGCACACTAGGGATACTCGTACATACACTATGGTATTGCCTAAATAGTGTATTTTTCAATTCTGTACAATATTTTCTTTAACGATTTATCATAAATGTTTCCTTTAGAATTTTTGCAACATACAATTTTCATCTTTCGTGATTATGACAAGAGGGAAAATCAAAAATGTACAGCAAATATCACAAAAAAACATTACTGTTGTTACAGTATGTGTCCACATATCTCCATGGCAGTAAACTGAACATCAGGCAGTATATAAAAATCAAGATACTGAACATAAATTTAAAACCAACTTGCCATAGTCAACTTTTTCATGACAACCGACACTCAAAGTCATTTATGACATTCTAAGATAAATGAGTTGAGGATCCAGTTTGGTCACAATATTATTAGACATATCATATGAAAATTCAACAGTGCACACAGAATCTATGAAATCTAGAAAAAAAAACATGAAAACTAAAACTGACTTTTAAGGTACAATGTATAACAACATATCAGATATGTATAGAAATGTCCTTAAATTGTACATTTTCATCAACTGGGCAGCTTTGAAAAATAAAATGTTCTTGGTTGAATTCCTGCTGCAAAGTCTGCCTTGTCCCCCCGACAACCAGTGTCGGTCATGGGACTAGGTAGGTAGGTTGAATTTTACACCTGCAGCTCTGAAAAAGCTGCCTGACTCTGCAGGTTAAAGAAGGATAACTGATCCTCAATGTTTTCCCCACTGTAACAGCCACTTTCAGGAGTTATAGCCTCCTTACTAGGTTCCTTTGGAACGTATTGTCCCTGTGGAGGTTCTGGGATGTGGAGCTTCAGGTTGGGCCTGTGTGGCTGCTCCATGGGTGTGACATGCTCCATGTATACCTGCTGGTTGTTTATCATATCCCCATAGGGCGATTGCCATCCGACTTGGTCCTGCTGGTGGCCATACAGTGGGAACTGGACTGGTTCTGACTGGTAAGGAGGACCCGCTGGTTGTACCATCATATCTCGGTAGACGTATGGTTCAGGTTCTCTGTACAGCTGGGCATCAGGCTGGGGTAGGAAGGGGTCGTACTGGATGGTGCCGTTGTTGAGCAGGTTCATGGGGATGCTGTGGCAGTAGCCCTCATCATCAACATCGTCAGGGCAGACCTTGGCCTCATCTTCGACCATCACATTGACATCCGCTGGCGTCTTGGCTGATGTTTCCTCTCCTTTGTCAGTGGGGTTGGTTTCGACCTTGCCGTTTGAGTTGGCTTTGCTGTGGCTGCTGTTCCCGTTGTCTCTTTCAGAAGTGCTCACGATACGACTGATGAACCAGTTAGGTTCTGCTTTGTCCTTTGCCTCCATCTTCGCAATTGCGCTCAGCAACTTGCGTCCTGGAACACGTAAGACAGGAGAATTAGAATTAGGAGAAACAGTTCACATTTCTACAGGTGAACATTGTACAATGCCAAAAGCTCACATTGAGCTACATTTAGACCATAGTAACAGTTGTTTGAGCAGTATTATATACAAATGTAGAGATTTGTCATACCAATGGAATAGAATAAAGAGTATGAAATGAAACATCTACCTGACTCTGTGCTTCCGACTTGCTCAGCGACGTCGATGTGCACAGCACCCTCCATGCTGAACTGGGAGTGTCCATGGATGTGGCAGAACAGTGCTGGCATGCTCTACAGGGAAGGATGATCATTTTAAAATCAACTCCTGAATATGCAATCTTGTACACTTATTGCCAAGAACATACAACAGCCCTCAAAATGTCAGCCATATACATTATTGTAGTCAAGTTTAATGAATAGAAAGTTGGTGCCAAAGATAGACTATAGGAATACATTGTCTTTTAGCATAGACAATGTTAAACCTCAATCAATCCAGTTTCCTGCCTTACCTCCATCAGCTTGAATGTCCTGGCGATCTCCAGTGTTGCCGGCACGTCTGTCTTCCTGCTGTAGGGGAAGTAGACGTTGATGAACTTGGACATGTCCTCGTCCCTGCTGTGCAGAAGCAGGTTGATGTGTTTCAGCCCTCCTGTGAACAGGTCGCCGCTCGGCTCAATCTCCTGGAGATGACATGACTTCTTGTCTCCCTTGGTGGCTGCAGGGAACAGTTTGAGTTTGATTAAATTGCATTTTGAATAAGTAAAAGAAGCTCAAGAACAATGAGGTGACAAGTCTTGTCTTTGATTACTACAAAAAAGAATTGGTTTGATTTTGATATTTTTCAATTCTACACCCTTGTAATGAAAGAAGACAGCAAAGTGACAATACATTCTGGAGGAACAGCAAAAAATGTGAGGTTCACTGTCTAAATGCTGTTGATATGGTTACCAAAAATTCCATGTAATACAGGGTTTGTAAAAATGTACTACACACACAGGCATACATGCATTCTAGCTTTGCTTTGCCTTATTTTTGTGCAATATACATTGTATGATATACATGTATATTGCTATTCATGGGAATCTGTAGGCACATAAATTGGTCATTTCCTTTTGCCATACATTCACAATACAATCAGGTTTGAGTGAGTAACAATACTGTAGACAGGAATAGTTGGTAGCCTCACCTTTAAACTTGGTCCCTGCAGAGCAGATGACGATAACATAGTCCACACCGTGGATGTGACTCACAAGCCACTCCATGGCCCCTAACTTGGAGATGTCCTCCGTCTTGTGCAGGTCCAGAATCACCTGGGAATACAATTTCATGGTGTGTAAACTCACAACTGTACAATACTGCAATGATGTATTTTAGTCTAATCAAACTAAGCATGTACATGTACACATACATGTACAACATCAAGCGATAAGCTATGATGATGAACATTAAATATTATGATGGGGGTACTGAATACATCTAGAGGAGTCAGAGTAATTACCTATACTAGTAGCTATAGTAAAGAACAGGACATTCTGATATATCAGAATGAGTTATTACATAGTTATTGTGACACCCAAACCAGTGTTCTCTGTCCCTACCTGACAGTGACACTCCCTCTGCAGGTAAGCGGCGAAGCACAGCACGACAGTCCTGTGTTCCACACAGTCATAGGAGGCCAGCAGCAGAACTGTCTTCTGCCGTATGTCAGGCAGGGAATCTAAAAACAACAACAGCAACAGACACAATCAAAACTTCTAGATTGTAAAGTTGAAATTCTCTGAACAATAATTTCAATTCCAGTAAAGGACTTAGAGAAGCTCAAACAAAAAAGGTGAAGTAGTGGGGTTATGATATACATGATACAGATTGAGTTATAACTGATTATAGAGAAAGGATAGTACTCTATCTTTGATTCATCAATGCAGTGTTTGTAGTACAGTTATTTGCTCCTCTCTGTCAAAGTCTTACGATAGCTGCTAAACTAGTATAGACTTGGCCTAATGTACTGTAATAAGCAGGTTTCCTACCTGTCAAAGTCTGGACAGATGGAAGATATCTGCCTTCTGTGGGTTGAAGGTTGTTGTCAGTGTCACCACAGATCTTTGGTATCTGGGGACCTACATGGAAAAAATGTAAAATTAATTCATATTATTATGGATATAATATTCAGTAGATTTAGTTTTGCCTAACTCTCATTTAAAGTACAGCAAGTTATAATCATACATGTACATACGTCGAGGGTGTTTCCAGCAGCACACGAGTATGATGATCAGCACAACGGCAGCTACCACGCCCCCAGCTGCAGCAGCTCCGTGCCTCCAGCTCTCGTCGCGGGACACAGGTGATGTGACACTTGGACCACTGTCTGGTGTTGTTGGAGGAGGGGGTGGTGGTGGTGTTGGTCTTGTTGTTGATCCTTTTGCATTCGGGATGAAAAAAGGCTTACCTTAGATGTTTCTCTGGCTTTGACTTAACTGACTTTGACTTATTGGATACACAATTAGGATAAACTTGACACTATAGCTATTCTTCCTGTGTCCCTTTTTGGGCTACTAACATGGTACCAGTGGAATTTGAATTTTGAATTACCTTACAGATTGACTAGTGTTGTTCTACATGTGTTATGTGCTAGGGTCAGTATACTACCTAGTTACGTAACAAAACCCTTATCTCTTTTGCTAATGCTTACAATGTACAAGTTACCACTTTTCCAATGATATGGATACAGATGTGTTACACTTACTTATAAACAGCTTCTTTGAGTAAACTAAACAGCTCTTAAAATATTGCACAAAACATGAGTTTACCTAGAGGTAAGTCGATCGTGAAGAAGCCTTCAGGTGCACCTGGCATGTCTGCTGCTTTAACCTGAAACAACAACAAAGTGACTGACATGATTTTTCTAGCCAAGCATTTGAAGTATTTCTCACCTCACCTGAAGTATTTGTACCTTCTTGTCATCTCTAATTAACTTATTCAACAAGCAATACATGTACCTTCCACCTGTTGTTTTGCAGTTGTGGTCTCTCAAGTGTTACAACCCTTAATCAATATAAAATCAGTCCATCAACTTACCCTAAACTGCCAGCTTCCTTGTCTTATCATATCCACGGGCAAATCCAGTGTGACCCATGGAAAGCCTTTGTTGCTTGGTTTCTGTAAATAAAAGAAAATCATTTCATTTCTGAAATCTTTTCTGGGCAACAAATAGGCAGGTAGACAAAATGGATGTATTATGAATGAGGGACAAATAGTTTAATAATGTCTCAGAGTTTTGGGGGTGAATACTTAGGAGTAACATTACTTAGGAGTGACTTACTGTATCATAAGTCCCGTGAAGGCATAGCACTTCACCATTGATGCATACATTAACAATGTACTGCTGTATGCATTGTGGGGACATGAAAGTTAAGTTGATGAAAAAGCCATCATCACTGTCAGTAGTGACCAAGTCCGTGATGTTTGGAGTCCAATTTCCTGCAAAACACACACATTTCCATCCATTATGTACTGCTTTCTTTTCATATTGTGCTATATCTGTAATTTGGATAAAAATTTTCCCTATTTTGAACAGAAAATTGCTACAGCTGATACACGAAACAAAATGAAATGGCCAGGAAGAAAACATAAAAATTCAGAGCTTTTTCAACCGTTTACCTTGTAAGCTAGTGAAAGACTTCACGGTGTTTGTAGCATCTGTGTACCGGTCATCAGATACCTGTTAAAAACACAGGAGGTTTAAATGTACAAAATATTCAAGACAGAGTGTTGATAATAACAGTGGTCTAATGTCAGCACAACTTCAGGTAGTATATGAAATCTCATCCACATAATGATGTGCAGTCTCATCAGATACATTATTGGTTTATTGTTTATTGGTTTAAAACTCTCCTTTAGCTGCCCACCCGAGGGTGACAGCTATTCTTCCAGGAGAGAGTATACACATAAACGTAACAAAACATCAAAACACATACATATATACATCATCATATTTACATCATCATACACAGTATATATACAATTAATATTCAATCTTAGTTTACTGACAATTCTGTATAGCTTGTTTCAATCTGTCTTTGATGAGAGTTTTAAAACTGGTAGGTATTGATCTTCTGATATGACATGGAAGTGTGTTATACAGTTTTGAGCATCTGTAGAGGAAAGATTTAGTAGCTGCCGATGTTCTTGGCTTTGGCAGCTTAAAATTATTCCTTGCTGCAGATCTCGTACTGTAACCGTGCTGGTTAGATACAAGCTGTAGTTTACTGTAAAGTGTTGTTGGTTGCTTATAGAAAAGCAACTTGTGGAAGGTACACATGTTGTTAACATAGAGTCTGTCACCAACAGTCAGCCATGATAGCACACTGTGCATATGCTTCACCGATTTCCGGTAAGTTCCGGTATTATTGATACAAAATGAATAAATAATGGAGGGTGAAAGATGAGACTGACCTTGACCTGGTACTCGTGGTACGGCTGTACAGGCTGGAATGTATGGCTGACACTGGGACCAGAATCATGCTGTGGAGAAAATGCAATGAAGATGTGATTTTGCCATTGACCAATGATCACTCAAAGTTATAAGTTGTGGAAGGAACAGAACAGGTATACCTAAGGATTTCTGGTAACATTGAATAGCACAATATATATCAAAGATTTAATTTTTCTTTCTTTTCAACTAAACATGCATGTTAATTTGGGGAATTATAGTTTCACTTCTGTACCTTGAGAAAAAGTGTTTTTACATTTATTTGTTTGACATTTACAACTTTTGACTAGTCTTTAATATGTGTCTTCTGAGCAGGCAATGGTGCAAACCCCCAATGATGTGACATTCAAGCTGTTTCATAATTTGTTTGGGACACAAAATGTACTACTTACAGTGACAGAGACACAGGCATCATCCATGCAGACCCTATAAGAAGGGACACCATCACCAGCAGGGAATAACACATCAGCAGTGCAGGTCCACATGTCCTCTGTGATGGCAAGGGAGTCCACAGGAGGGGCCCAGTCTGTAAATTAGTCACAAAAGGATAATTATTTAATCTATAATGTGCTACTCATAGACAATGAAGCAATGGAACTTCAGAAAGGAGAGCTGATAGCACAACTTTGAATAACCCGATTTTTAAAATCTAGAATGACCATGGCCTTACCTGTTACTTCAAAAACAGTTGGACAAGTTCTCTGTCTAAAATCTCCTCGGACCTTGTAAAGGAAGACAGAAAGGATCGGTAAATGTAAGAATGACCTACCTTCCATTTGACATTAAATTTGCAATTTGCACAATTCAGACTTTCATATATAAGATCACATCAATGAAGATTTAGTCATCTTGAGTCTGTCCTAATCTAGTTTGAGCATCATTACTTGTTGTTACTTACTTTTCTAGGTCTGACCAATCTAAGAGGTTCAAAGTAAATACATGTAATCACAATCAACAGTTACTCATCGCATCAACATACCTCAAAGAGATACTTTCTTGGAGGGATTTCATCATAGTGAAGCTGCACGACTTGGCTGTCAGTAGGCTGGAACAGGAAATGATAAACATTACTCCTTAAAAGTCAGGGAATGACATCGTTCCTTGTACGTAAGGTGTAAAATGTGCTTCTAAGATGTCAATGTATGTATTTCAATGCTTCTGACTTTTTGTGCAAACGTTACTATGTAAAGTCCATTAATGCATCCAAGAGCCTGTTTTAGAAATGATTTGCAAATAGACTTTAAAAATGTACTACACAACAAAATAAAAAGAATTTAATTTTCAGTACATGTATTTGGTGAAGCCCATCTACCAGATTTTGCTATCCATAGAGAGTATCATGCCAGGTTTAAATCATGGTTAATGGCAAATGTTTGATTTGTACCTTAGGAACCAATCTATATGGACCTCCAGGCAAAGTTGCTACAAGTCCGTCACACTTTTCTCTCCAGGTCTCACAGTTGAAGTCAGACTTATTACACTTCATGTTGCTTATGAAGATATGATATTGAAGGACACCATAATCATGTTGAGCAACCGGAAAGTTGACATCCACACTTCTCCCAGCCACAGTGATATTGATATTTTTGGGGATCCATGCTTCTGTTGAAAAGAAATACATGTACATACAATCATGTAGTTTGAATTGAATATAATGTTAAGTAGCAAAGCTGCAATACAGTTTGTTGCAAAGAATAGAAATATATTTACAGATACATGTATATTTACAGATATAAAACAGATATTCACTTACACTATATAAAAGAATGACATATAATCATGGACAGACAATAGAATAGAAACAGAATGATGTTCTTACCAGGTCCACAAAAAGACAGATCATCTGCATAAAGTTCTGTGCAGCCTGAACATAAACAAACAACAAACACAGTCAACTTTCATTACAACATGGAAACATGTTAATCAACATGACAACAAGCTTAACACCCAAAAATAATTCATCATCATGTTATATGTTCATTTTGTTTCCCACAACCAGTAAACAAGGTAAGAGACATTACTCACTGTGAAAAATTTCAATGTCTTAACAGTATGACTTTGAGGAAAAACTTACTCCGGGGTGTTACAGTGATTCTGGCTGGTGGAGCCTCCTCTGGTGTGTCATAGTTCATCGGCAGGGAGTAGACAGACACGACATAGTTTCCTCCTTCGAAAATGGGGAAGAATGTGTGGTTGTAGATTGTCTGGGAAGAGAGAGAACAACAATATTACATTCTAATTGAAGCACATTGAAACACAATTTGTTATCAGTACAACATGTTATGGTGGACCCTGTATGGTGATCAGAAAACTGTGTGTGTTTTTTAGTTCTGTCTGACCAGTTAGGTAAGAAATGTTGTAACCTTACCTCACCATCCGCCTCCACTGACTGAGGAATGATGACCTGGTAACAATTATTGTCTTGATGATCTGGTCTTAGTATGCTGGCTTGAAAACCTCTTAGTTCACGGAGTCCTGTTGGTATAAAGACAGCACATTCTCATAAACTTGAACTTGTCTTTTTTTTTCACAACCATAGAATATATTTCATCAGGTTAGATGGAAACCTGATAGAAAACATGGGTAGGGAAATGTAGTTCTCTTCCGTAGTGCATTCTTACCTTGAGCTGCAGCTCTCCACTCCACAGTCACACCTTCACATCGCCTGTCAACACCATTGACTGTGCAGGTACCGTTGATCCGTCCTGCCACTCTGAGATCAGTAGGGGAAGCTGGGACCCAAGGTAGGTTAAGACCCTCAAATGGCCATGGGTCACAAGCTAGAGGATAACATCAGTGACAAAACAGTCAGTAGAATATATCAACAACCAAACCATCAAGTAAAATAAAAGGATAATAAAAAAATAAGACACTTTCATACATGTATATCTAAAGGAAAATTAGATAGCATTAAAGAAACTTTAAACTTACAAAACCACTCCCCTATAAAAAAAAACCAGCAAACTCTAAGAAAATATTTCCTTTTTCTCCAATATACATGTACACACTTACTCATGTACAGGAAAAGGAATACAGTATAAGCTACTGATTATAGCTGTTCATTATATCTGCATTAAAAGTATGATAATGCTTATCTCCACTTACGCCCAGATTGTGGGTAGTCATCTGCATCTCTTCTGCTCCTCTCTGCAGCACACTTTGCAAGACATGTCAAATCCCCCTGGAAAATAGAATAACAAGTCAGATGGATTTTGGATATTACAATGCACTGTGAAATTATACAATGTATTACTCAATATATAATCAAAATCTGAAAGTGTCCTTCTTTTATTTGAAAATGGTAATAAACAGCCTGCATTGAAACCGGGAGAGTTACATGATGTTACCAAACTTTGAATCCAGCTTCAGATACCTTCACAACAGCATTAGTTAAGAGATAATCTCTCTGAACTACATTGCTTTGTATACCCTTAAGGACAATATGGAATTGGACTAGCCAGTACATATAATGTCTCATGACAAACAAACTGTGTTTTGCCAAGTCAGACTTATCTGGCCTATTGCCAATTACATGTACAACCTTACTCAAACATTCTTTACATCATGTAGAAGTACATATGTTGAGTGGCATCATGTTTGCCAGGCCACCATGTCTTTAGTATTCCATGTATGCCTTAATCTACTTTTACTACAACTTTTTTCTGACCATGACAGAATGTGCTTTGTCAGTTTTTTAAGGTACTGGCCATGGTAGGATGACTCACACACAAGGAAGTGGCAGAGACTCTCTAATCTCTCTATCCTTCTTGGTGTAACGCTATATAATGGTATAGTGCATGTAGTTTACAGTAGAGGATAATCTGTGGCAATCTTGATTAACCAAGGCACAAGAGTAGAAATTGTCAGAGATCTGAGAAAAGGTATCTGGGCAAATGATATTATCTGCACATTATAAGTAAGACAAAATCTGTTGAAAGGACACTCCCCTACATGTGTATGACTGACTCGACAGTTTTATACATATATTGAAAGAGGCATTGATTACTATAAGCACAAAGCATCTTTATTCCGTACTCAGTAGGTTCTTCTTTCTTAAGGTTCTCCTTCCCTAATATCCATGTCAACTTTATCATTGACAGAGGCATGTTCTCCTTCCCTTATATCCATGTCAACTTCTCCCTGGCACATTTCCAGGCTGCCACTTGGAAAACAAGTCAAGTTAGAGGAAGTTGGAACTCCAGAAGCTCATGTTGTGAACAGCTGATAACCTGGCCTGGAGCTGACTCAACACTCAACTATCGCTGAGCTCACAGTTTAGTGACTTAAGATAAAATAAGAGTGGCCAGTCACCAAAAAAAAGTGCAAACCTGAGTGTTTAAAACTCCCGAAGTTAAACTAGAATGCCAACATCTGTGCTCCAGAAGCCTCAGAATACATACATATGCATGTACACTGTATGTCATCTAATAATGTATATACTTGGACATAGTATGTTAAAGTGGAGAATGTAGGGACAGAGTAAAGCAGAACAAGTCTGGTTCTCATGATCGAAGTGCAATCTCCATGTAATGTCTTGACAGTGATTCAGATGTAATATATACTGCATCAGCAATATCAACTTTCTCTATGCTGCATGTGGGCTCATTTTTATCCAGTTTTACTTCCTTCAGATGGTTATCTATAATGAGCTGACTGACAGGAGATGGAATGAAACATAGGAAATGGAGTTGCTGACTTCTGCACATGTCCAGCTGCAGATTTCATCAGCACTAGCGCTGACTGTACAAAATATAACTGCTGTTCAACAAGAGAACTTTATTTTGAAATTTTGCATATTTTGTTTACCACTCTAAAGCTGCCAGCAGCTAAGCTTACACTTTATTACAATAATACCTGAAATACCTAGTAGTAGATTAAATGAATAATTCATAAACCTGAAATATCTACATTGATACAATAGGTTCAAATGAGATGAAGAGTGATACCTGAGCCTTAATACTGAAGACTTTTCCCAAGCATGGGTAACATTGTAATATTACATGCATCAGGCAACATGCAGTGTTAGCAATTAAGTCAAAATTTGTTTAGGATTAACTACATACTAGACGATAAACTACAAATGTACACAGAAGAAGAAACACAAAATTGTACAGGTCAGGTTTTTTAATTTAATTTGATGCCTGGTATAAAGGACAATTTGAATGTTTACAGTTGAAGCAACTAGTACCTGTAATATCAATGTCCTGGACAGCACATCAAACACACTCATCTGGTCTATCAAAATTATTCTAACCAGGAGAAACACTCTGGTCTTGTAAAACCCTGTAAAAGACTATTGTGGAAACCAAATACATATATATAACATTAACTCAGAACTGCTGTATACTAGTAATACCACCTTGATCATGATCATGAATGACACAATTCTCCCTTCTGTTTACGTTATAGCTCAACCATGCCCAATTAACAACACTTGCAGTTCAAATATTTCACTGAGGCCTTTTATCAACTACCTTGCAGGTAAGGCTTGGCATCTTGCACAATCAGGCAGGTGTTTACTCTTCACGTACCAGGTACTGTAGCTATGGCAACCACACGCAGACGTCACTGCTAGTCAAACAATAGCTGGACTGCTCCCCTGACCTTACATACTGACTGTTGTGAACTAAGTTTTACTGGAAGGATTAATGGAAGTTCTAAAAATCTCTAGCCTGGAAAAAAACAAACCAAAAGGATTTTAAGCTGTATTCCACATGTAGAGGCAGGTTAACTTCACAACACACACCTAACCTCTAAAACATTTTTTTCTTCAATCACTTCCTGTTGGTATGCATGACTGCATGCAGCTTCTTTCAGCCTTTAAAAGCTAGGTTAGTGATATGTCAAGGTCAATTACATCATTTAGGGCGGTCTCCTTATCTATTCCCATGATTTTTAATCAGATGTAACGTTATAAGTACTAAGTGACACCAACTGTAGTATGTATATTATAAGAAGTAATCACTCTCATCACTCTTATTTAATTAGTTTTCAAAGATTGCTTAATCCTAAGCGAGTAAACGAGGGTGAGTGATTACTTCTTAGTAAATAGGAAGTGGGAGTGACATTGAGTCACTAGTGCCTAGGCTAAAGATCAGATTCACAGTAACTTTGATTCAACCCAACCCTGACTGCCACATGCCCAGTGTATCATCAAACTATCAGAAATGCACTTTGCAAAAACAGCAAAATAATATAGTTAAGCCTCAGCTGCCATTTCTTTATTGTGAACATCCTCTTCCTCTACATTTTGCAACATAACACTAAAACTATGCTCGACTTCCGATCTACATAAAGGAGATGGGGAACTGTTTGTGTGGAGACTGCAAGTCAACTTCTGTTCTGCTGAGACGACAATATACCGGTAATATTAGATACTTGCCAACCCCGAGTCCTCTCTAAACATGACAAGTGTTCCACTTCCTGTAGCAATAACCCACAGTGATAGCCAACCCTTAACACAGCTGCAGCACACCAACAACAAACACTGCAGGATTTCTCAGCACACCTTCAATTTTCTGTCCACAACATTGACATTTACCATGACTGAATTGATCAAACAACACATACAAGGTTTTTAGCCTCTACCAGGCTTGAGGGCGCGGCTGGAAATAGTAGAAATTGGCAAAATAGAGAGATCACACGCCGAGGGAGTTTAGCCATCCATTTTACAGTTTGCCGGCCCACTAAACTCCCTCGGCGTGCTATCTCTCTATTTTGCCAAATTCTACTATTTCCAGCCGCACCCTCAAGCCTGGTAGAGGCTACAAGGTTTTACTTTCAAGGGCAAAATATCTTCAATATCTAAGGTGATGATTTGTTCAATATATTTTCCAAAGAAATGGCCTCCATTGCCAAGCAATAACCAAAAACTGGCAACATTTTTATTTATTTCATAAGTAAGCAATTAACACAATTAGCAGATGGATATATTGCTTCCAACTACTAAGAAAGAGACTAGACTTTTGTACATTTCCTTCTTACTCATGGTCACAGTACACTTAGCTTAAAAAATGTAGTTCAGACGTCATGTTCGTGTTGCCTAACATAAAAGAAGCTCTGGTTACTGGCCGCTGCAACAAATGACATTCATGGCAACACAGGTATCGTTTTCACCTGAGGTATTGACATGACATGAACACTTGTCACGCACGCAGCAAGAATTTACACACACCTGTCCCTCTTTCACCTGTGTCTGGAGGTTACCTACTAGGCTATTAAGACGTGATACATACATAAGAAGTGGCCCACACTCCAGTAATTTACAGATGGCTGTAACTTTTATAGCAGGCGATCTTAAGTTCGCTCGGGCGATTGTTACTTTGAACGTCAGGCAGGTATGCACACCTTCACGCCCAACGCCCTTAAGGCCCTTAATGCCCATCCGACCGTGACCTCCAAGTCCAAAGGTATCAGATCTAACGTTTTCGTTTTTATTTCCAGTGAAAAGCAGTTCCACGATTGACCTGTCAGTCGACAAGTGCTGTAATGTCAGTCTCTAGTGGAAAATTTTCAACAAGACCGCCCGGGGCGCCTGCCCTGTACCGTGTTTCCAGCCCGAACTTTTCCTGGTTGCTTCGGTCTGGCCACTGCGCTCTAATTGCACGACGCAGTCACGATTTCATATCAATATTACTGTGTACACTCACCTTGACGTTGCACGTCCGCAGACACCGCAGATCGAGCCCTTGTTTCCCCGGAACCACCAACAGGACAGCGGTGAGCTGGAGAAACAGCCCCAAAAGTTTCCCCCTCGCCGCCATTACGTCCCGAGTGTGATCACAACAGGATCTCATAGGTGTAAAGTGTTTTGCTAAGTGAGAAGAAACTTGCGGATTTTTCTCTACTTATTCCGTTCAACCTACAATAGACTATATTCAAGTCTTAATCTACTGAATGTGTCTTTTGAAATTTTTCAATCCAATATTCAATCTTACAAACTGAATATTTAAAGCAGCATCGTACAGTCTTGCTTTCACCTATGGGGTCATGTTAAGTGCAAACAAGTGGCCACAGGAGAGGAGGAGTTTCCTAGAAAAGCTGAGGTCTTCCGGTCAGGAGGCCTGCTGAGATAACTATGGAAACCATGTTTCGGTCGGGAATGTCTGAGCTTAACTCCAAGCAGATGTTGGATAAGGATTGTTTACACGTGATTTTGTCGTATAAACCCTCTGAGATTATAAATCAGCTCGAGATCTCTGATAACTCATTTACTAGTAGTACTATCGATATCCCCACCTCTTCATTTTCTTTCTTTCCTTCCTTCTACCTTTCTCTCTCCCTATGTGCGCGCGCGCGTGCGTGTGTGTGTGTCAGCGGTGTGTGTTTGCGTGAGTGTGTGTGTATGTGTGTGTGTGTGTGTTGTTGTTGTTGTTGTTTTGAGAAGCAAACAGTGCTTATATGTATAACTAACGTTATTAACGTTACACATAGCAAACAATCCAAAATTTTGCAGATGTAATAATCACGACGATTGAAGTGAGTCAATGGGCTATTTCATTAACTACAAGGTTCAGACAAGCGACCGAAAATGATGATGGCAACTCATTAAAGACAAAGCACATATTCAACAGAGAGGTAAATGTATTGAGACATGTATACTGAATATATATCCGTTAAGAACATTGACTTTCACTTAATCAGTTAATGTTAGTAGTAGTTACAACGATTATACGATGCATAATCATTTGACGAACACACAATACTTTCACTTTTAAATATAGTTATAACAATAACGATTGACTATGTAGTTGACTTTATAGTATACACCGTGAACAATCCTTAAATTCATCCATGATCCAGGTCTAATGCAAGAAGCTTCGTTCACAAGCGAAGGTATAAACACCACTACCCAATCTTTTACATCAATATCGGTGAATAGCTTCGATCAGGCTTCTAGGTTATTTACAAGAAGTATTTACAACCACATTCATTTCCTTCACCGATGTCTCACCTGCTCTCAGTGATATACATTTGTAATACGGCTGAACCGTTAGGTATTGTCTTTAGCCTAGACATGACCATGAGTTGTGGTGCCCAAATTCGGTTTAGTCACTCGGATAATTATTTCCCTCCTTCATTTATTTTGATAGAATGGTTCCATTTCAGTGCCGGTCCGATTTAGGCTAATGTCGACTTGAGTTTTAGGTTGTCCATGATAACATTTTTGACCCCCATTTTGTATTCTGTCCATCATGACTGGTTGTCTGATGGAACTGAATGCTCTATGTCAGTGTTATTGTGCATTTGATAGAATGGCATGTCTTCAGTCTCCTGTCCAGTCTGCGTGTATGAGCTGTAATCTTTAGATTCAGTTTCTCTGTGGTTGTTCTGTGCATCTTGTCCGTCCATGGGCGTTGAATCGGAACACATACTACCATTTTCCTCTGCACGGTCTTCCACATGATAGAATGACTCGGCTTCAGTTTCTGGCATACAACATGTACTAATACTGCATTCAGCTTCTTCTTGTTCGCATATCGTGCCATGGGTCTCCAAGCTCCTTCCACTAACATCTCTATCAATGCATTGTTCGTTGTCATATAGGTTCATGTCTGTCTCATACTCATCGCTTTCTGCGTTTGCAGCAGCGTAAGGCTGTGTCGCGTAGTGGAGGGAGTATGACATAGTCGCGCACACTGACGTCGATTTCTGAATTGCGTTTTTCCTTCGGTTCGATAGCTGGATGCGTTTCGCCTTCCTTCTTTGGAAGAACAGTGCTGTGATGAGACCTAGGGCAAGCAATGAGGTGGCCGCAATCCCAGCACCCATAGGAACCCAGTAACGAAAACCGCGCGGTGCCGAGTCCTCTTTGGACAGTGATGGGTCTGTTTTTTCACTAACCATCGTGCCAGCATTTCTCTGTGGGGAGCTAGCGATAGTTGGTGTTACAAACTGGGAGCTTGCAAATGTCGATCTCCAAGACGTGGTATGCGTGGTGCCACGATCATTGTTGGAGGAAGAGAAAAAAATCATAGCTGTGGAATTTCCTGCCACAGATGACGCAGCACAACTGGAATGTCCAAAAGAAAGTAGCACAAAACGACTGACAGCCAAAGACAATGTTGTCTTCGCTACATAGTTTGAGGAACGTGCATCTGTGCAGTACTCTTGGGGGCATTGCCACCCACCCGTTCTCATGGACTGCGTTAAGGTAATGGTAAGATTAGCTGGTTCTGAAACCGTCTCGGTTCTGTCCTCTTCCCCTAGTCTCATGGCGTGAGAGAATACTGGCTTGTCTGCCAAGGTGAACGTCACCAGGGGAGGCACTTCCCAGTACAAGTCACACGATATGTAGATAACGTCATGTTCCGACGAGAGCTCGAATGTGTTGTTATAGATTCCTGTGTGTTCTACCGTGTTCGTTTGGCGGGAAAACACGCCTAGCCTCGCTACAGGGTTAGGACAGGTGGCGTTTTCCAACCCTATGTTTGACACCAAAGTGTTTCTGAGAGAATGGGGGTGTTTGCACGTCAGTTGAAAATAATCGTCAACGTAGTCTGTTTGATAAGGAAGCCAATCCAAGGCACAAGTGCACCTCAACGGGTTACCTGCCAGTTCCCCTCTAAATGTCAGACCATCCAGTGCAGCAATTCTATTATTCTGTAGGGTTACTTTTCGAAGAACGTTCAGTCCTTTAAACCAGTCCTTTCTGACATATCTAAGACTGTTCCCATCCAGCTGTATCATGAATAAACTGGATAGTCCAAAGAATGCGTGGTCTTGTATTTGCGTAATATTGTTGTTTGAGAGATCAACAAAAAGGAGACCTGGTATTCCATCTAGATGCCCATTTCTGATTTCTGTCAATGAATTTGCGCTCAAAATTAGCTTTATTAGGCGAGTACCGCTAAAGGCACGAATCGGCATATCTGCAATGTCATTATTCCCTAGCCGAAGTTCTTTCAAGGAAGTCAGATTTCGAAAATGATAAGTGTTTATAACTGACAGAGATCCGTAGCTAAGATCCAGTTTTGTCAAATTTTGCATCTGAGCAAAAGGACTCTCTGGAACCACGATGTCCCCTATTTTGAACAAAGGATTCATTTTTATTTCCAGTTCCTTCAGCATGTGTGCACCCCGGAACCAGGCCGCCTGAACACTACCAATCCGGTTATACGTTAAACTCAGGGTTTCGAGTTTAGGAAGTTGTTCAAACGCCCCGTCTTCGATGTTAGATATCTCGTTGTGACTGAGATCAAGGTTCTTTAGCTGATCTAGCCCAGCCACAAACCAGGACTTTTCAACGCAAACGATACAGCTCCTCCAAACAGACAAATGAACCAGGTTGGGGATCTTCTCGAATGCTCCTACCGAGAACCTTGCTACGTCGCCGCGGAGGGCCAGTGCCTTTATCTGTTGAAGTCGAGTTTTGTTAAAGTTTGAATATGAAGTTATATTTGAAATCCAAGGATTAGTTTGACTTGGGTAACGTACCTGAGAATACTCTTGCAGACCGGCGCCGGCGATGAACGTTACCATGACTTGGGGTGTCACAACCAACCGTCGATGCTTGGATTTACAGCGCCAGTTGCCCGTACCACGGCGGTGTTCCTCCATTTGCAGGCGGGTTCCCAGCCCCCTCTTAACTATCAAGTTCGAGCAGAAGGCGTTCACTGATATCTCCTTAAGGCCATCTTCGTACCTTCTTTCGCGAACTTTAATATTGGAGGGATTTAAACAGAGGGCCGGACCGTTGCACCTGGCCTGAACGTTAATAGTGCTAGGAAGGAGACACGTCACTAAAAACCCGAAACAAAATAAGAACCACATTTTCACTTTTTCGTTTTAAAATATACGTCGCTTATGACGTTTTTCTCTACTAGCTGACCAAAGCGCTACAAACAACTTGTCTCTTTTCAAGTGGTTTTTGAAAAAATATCCAAAATGATTTTTGAAGAAAAAAATGCTACTTCTCCTTCCAAAATACTGAATGAAAGCTAGGAAAGCGGGGACCTATAAGCCATGCTCTGTTGTTTTATTCAAACACATCTGTGCGAATTGTGAAAAAACAAGTCGGTACAAAATGAATATTCGTGTAGGCGGACAGACGGGAACAGCCTATGGCAACTAGACCTATTCGCTCCCACGCACGGTAAGCAACAGGTAGCAAGCTTGTCCAAATGTCAGATTGTCTGGTGAACGGATTGTTTGTTTCCGTCTGGGTTCCTTCAGCACTAGACCCGAGATTGCTTCAAGCACAGAGGCAGCCTTCGGCAAATAGACTAACCTGTTCCATGAGTAAAACATTAGACAATCAGCAGAGAAAAAAACTTTTAAGACCGTTAGGCTCTTTACTGGTCAGATGTTTTAAGCTTCTACAATATATTTTTCAATGTCTGTCTCGTCGTATGTCCTTTCAGTAGATTTCGTTTTTCTGTTTTGAATAATTAGGAAATTGAAAGTGTTCTGTGAGAACACATCTCGTGTAACTATACGCATGGCGCACTCGTACTAGTAGTGGGACACAATGGCTCAGCTTTCATTCAATGCTGGCCCTGTCTGTGCCTACCTGATTTCCAATTGTCCTACTTTATGTAACAGAATGAGAAAGCGTTCTGTTGCGGGCATCGGTGTCCTAAATAGTGCACAAGGCTCCTTTGCCTTTGGGAGTTGTGTTATCATTTTGTCCTGGCTGCCGAAGGCGTATTTTCTTCCTTTTCGAGAACAAGCATCTTGTACTAAGACCTAGGCCAACCACTGCAAGGGCACAAACCACACCACCCGCTACGGGAACCCAGAAACGGTAAGCGTGCGGTTCTAAATCCTCTGCGCGTGGCGGAAGGCTGGTTGAATTTGACAAATCAGCATCATCGACAGAAAGAGCAAGAGAAATGTTATCTGTTGAGTGTCCACTCACAGACGACGCGTCACATCTGCACTGTCCAAATGAAAGTAGCATTAACCGTCCGATAGCGAGTGACAAGGTTGTCTTCGCCACGTAATTTGAACAATTTTCACCCGTCACAGACTCTTTGGGACTTTTCCACCCTCTTGTTTTCGCGGATTGTGTCAATTTAATCATAAGGTTTGCTGGCTGTGAGATATTCTCGATTCTGTCATCTTCCCCTAATCTCACTGCATGGGTAAACACGGGCTTGTCTGCCAACGCAAGCGTCACCAGAGGAGGAACTTCCCAAAACACTTCGCATTTCAAGAACACGGCATCGCCTTTAGATAAAATGTTTTCGTTGTTTACCTCCTTTGTGTACGACACGCCTAGCTTTACTGCAGGTTTAGGGCAAATGACGTTATACAGAGTTAGGTTTGACACCAACGTGTCTCGGAGAGAAGGTGGATATCCGCACGTCAGACGACTGTAGTCGGCAACGTCGTCTTTTTGATGACGTAGCCAAGCCAAGGCACATGTACACCTCAAAGGGTTCCCTGCCAATGTCACTTTAAACGTCAGGCCATCCAATGCTACGATGTCATTGTTCTGTGCGTAAATGTTTGATAGAGCTCCTAGCCTTTCGAACCAGTCTTTTCTCATGAATGTCAGCCTATTCCCACTCAGGTGTATGTCGGATAACTTGGGGAGTCCAGAGAATGCGCCGTATTCAATGTGTGTAATTTTGTTGCTTGATAAATCGATAAGTAACAGACCCGGTATTCCAATAAAATAGCCATTTCGTATTTTTGTCAAAGAATTTTTGCTCAGAAATAGATACAGTAGACCGGTGCCACGGAAGACACCAATCGGCAGGTCCGCAATGCCATTGTCGCTTAGCTCTACTTCTTTCAAGGCTGTCAGGTTTTGAAAGTGATTGACGTGGATATCTGTAAGTAAACCATGACTAAGAAACAACCATGCCAGCTTTGGTAAGTGAGCGAAAGGACTCTCTCTGTTTCCTACTTTCACCAGAGGGTTGTTTTCTATTTCCAGCCACCTCAGCTTGTCAGCGCCGCGGAACCAGGCCGCTCGGACACTTTTGATGTTGTTATAGTTCAAACTGAGCATCTCCAGTTTAGGGACATGTTCAAACGCGCCGTCTTCAATGTTGGATATTGCGTTTTGGCTGAGGTCGAGGTCTGTTAACCGGTTTAGCCCCACGAACCAAGTCCTCTTCACACAAGCGATACAACTTCTGGTGATATACAAGCTAGTCAGGTTACTAGTCAAGTTGAATGTATCTTCTGAGACATCTGCAATGTCACCGTTTAGCTTCAGCGTGCCCAGCTGTAATACACCGAATCATCTTTGTCGTTATTTAACTCTTCTGAATAGACTTCAGAACTGTTAGCTATGTTGGAGACAAGGATAACTTCTGACACGTTTATAAATCTACGACTGCATTCGACTTTCATGGTGTAATGCCTCATGATCACTGGTACAAGACACCTGGTGTCAATTTACATTATGTCCAAATTTTCAACAATTTCCTTTTATATTGTAGCCGGACGACTGAATCTGAGATCCATGAGTTTGAAAAAATAAAACGACTATGTATCTGTATGTTCTAAAATAACATAAGATATTAAAGAAAAAGAAAATGTTACAACATACCTTTTCAATCCCTTTTAAATCGAAGAGAGACATGTTGATGATTTGGTGTGTCAGACGCAGCCGTCGATGCCTGTATTTACAGCGGTCAACCTCCGCCACAGGAAGGGCGCGCAGTCCCACGACATGCGCGTCTTCCGTCCGGCAAGAGATTTTTACGAACACAGACTGTAACGTCTCCCGTCTGTCACGGACTTCGATGAGGGAAGGTTTTGCACAAAGGGCCGGATCGTTACAATTTGCCTGAACGTCTCCAATGCAAGGGAGTAAACAAACTACCGAAGCAAAACAAAAATAGATCCACATTTCTGCCCTCTTTTCAAGATATGTTGGGAGCAAGAGTTTCGTGTTACTTGCCAAAAGGGAACGAACAACGATGATACTTTTCAAGACTAACATGTCCCGAAAGATAATGATAGTTCAAGACGTTTCTTTAAATTCAAACACTTAATCGCGATGTGAAAGCCAGGGATACAGAGGACGTATAAAACCAAAGATCCTGTTGTTTTATTCACACAAACTTTTTTTGTTTTTCTCGGTGACAAACAAGTCAGTGTTTGTGGCACTTATGAAGAAAAACACCCCAGCCCGACAGACCAGTCTACGTGTGTTTACAGACAGACTCTCTTGGCTACTAGACCAATTCAAACCCACGCAGGCAGCAGCGTCAGCAGCAGGAGGCAAAGTTGTCAGATTGTCTGGTAAACAGGAGGCAAAGTTGTCAGATTGTCTGGTAAACAGATTGTTTGTTTCCGTCTGGGTTCCTTCAGTACCAGACCCGAGATTGCCTCCCTCATGGAGGCAGCTTTCGGCAAATAGACTAATCTGTTACATAAGGACAACTTCAGACAACAGAAAACTATCGGTTAGCCCAAAAGTGTTCAGCATCATCAATGATTTTAGATATACCATTACTATGTTCGTTTTTCAGGAAATCATGCTTAGTTTCACCACTGATTTACGACAAGTGACGTTACCACATCATATATCAGTGTCCCCGACTTAAAGCTGTTTTCCGATATGTTCTTAAATGTTGACAATGGCTGTCTCTTCATATAATATCAGCAATTGTGTTCAGTTCTTCCGTTTATTATTTAAGAGGGTGCTTTGGAAGCACATTCCATTTCTTGCATAACACGGTGCATCACGTTTACTAAGAGCAGGAACGAGCTGTTTAATGACAACCATGCTTCATAAATGGATCGAGTATGGAATGGTCTGTGAACTCTTCAGATGATAGCATTTCGCACTATTAACTGCATCATTAGTCTTGTCCGGTATGCGTAACTGATGTGGAAGTGCCTGACGGAGTCCCTTGATCGTTTCGAGCAGAATGTTTGTCCATTGGCAGGTATCTTGAATCAGGAGGCTTCTCATCAGTGTTAGCCTTTTGATTCTTCATGAGGTAAAATGGGTCGTGCTTGTCCTCTTGCCTTCTCCCTGTATCTGGAATCACCTCATATTCATTTTCGACCGCATTTGTATAATCTGCGACAGCATACGGCTGTATTGTGTAGTCGCCGTCGTCCCCGGCATTGCCCTGTGCGTTTGGAACCGCGGGTGTTCTCTGGTTAAGTTCTTGGAGGCGTCTTTTCTTCAATTTCACCAACAAACGTGTCGCTAGTCCAAGTATTACAAACGCAGAAACCACAGCACCTACCACGTGAGCCAAATAACGAAAACCGTGCAGTACTGAATTTTTATATAGTGAAGGGTTGGTTTTATCGACGACCATCGTAACGGCATGATTCTGTGTGGGGCTGACAACACTGGCTGTTACAGTAGAATGGTCCGAAAGAGAGTAAATAATAGTCTCTGTCGAATTTGCTTCCCTAAATGATGCAGTACAGCTACATCTTCCAAGCGAAAGTAGCACCAAACGACTGACGGCTAACGACAAAGTTGTCTTCGCTACATAGTTTGAAGAGGGGACATTTCCGCTGGCCTCATGGGGACTTTGCCATCCACCAGTTTTAACGGATTGCGTTATGACAATTGTAAGATTCGCTGGTTCTGAGACGGTCTCAATTCTGTCCCCTTCTCCTAATCTTGTAGTGTGGGAAAATGCGGTTCTATTGGCCAACACAAGCGTTACAAGAGGAGTCACTTCCCAGTAAACGTCACATGTCAGGTACACGGCATCTTCTATAGAAAGATGCCCGTTTATGGGTTTATGGGTTCCTGCTCTGTTTTGCGGAAGAGACGATACGCCTATCTTAACCACAGGTTTAGGGCAAGTGATGTTAGGCAGGGTTAGGCTAGACACCAAGGTGTTCCAGAGAGAGGGAGGGTGGCTACACGTCAGACGATTGAAGTCGGCGACGTAGTCCTTCTGGTCATGGAGCTCGAGCCAGGATAATGCGCATGTACATCTTAAAGGGTTACCTGCCAAGTCAACCTTGAACGACAGACCATCCAACGCAACAATGTCATTGTTCTGTAGGAAGATTTTTCGAAGAGATTTAAGTCCTTCGAACAAGTCCTTGATATATTTCAGCTTGTTATGACTCAGATATATTTCAAGCAACATGGATAGTCCAAAGAATGCGCGGTCTTGAATTTGTGCAATTTCGTTGTTTGATAAATCAATTAAGTAGAGTTTGGGTAGTCCAACGAAATGACCCTTTCTTATTTCTGTCAGTGAATTTGAGTTCAAATAAAGCTTCCTTAGACCCGTTCCACTGAAGGCACCGATCGGCATATCTTCAATTGAATTGTTCGTTAACCGTAGTTCTTTTAAAGACGTCAGATTTTGAAAGTGATTGGTGTTGATAACTGTTAAGGAACCATAAGCCAGCTCCAAAGTCCTGAGTTTTGTCAAGTGGACAAAGGGGCTCTCTTGGATCATAACGTTGCCTATGTTCATCAGAGGGTTATATTCTATCTCCAGTGTCGTCAGCATGACGGCACCGTGAAACCAGCCTCTCTGGATGCTCACGATCCTGTTATAGGTCAGACTTAGGAATTCGAGGTTCGGAAGGTGTTGAAATGCATAATCTTCGATGTTGGATATCTCATTATTGTTGAGATAAAGTTTCTTTAAGAGGTTTAGCCCCTCGAACCAACCATTTTTAACACAGACGCTACAAGTTCCATAAATAGTCAATTCAATCAGGTTAGGTGTCTTCTCGAATGCTCCCTTTGAAAACCCGGCGATGGCACCGCGTATACTCAGCTGTAATGTACCAGACAATAAACAATATGTAAATTATTTCCATCTCTACTTCAATGTCTTCCTTACCCTCCATTACCCCAATAGGACTAATAAAATGGACTGGGTTGGTAGGTAGTTATTTTGTGCTTGGCTGGAGTCACAGTCTTTCACCTTTCGGGAAACAACCTTCACTAGGCAGTTTAGCACCAGCTGCTTTTTTATGCATGCAATGCTCCATGGTATCATTCTGAACTTCGTAAATGCTACAAGCACCCAAGGAATTATGATAATGGTGGTGACAGTTGTCAATTGCATCGGCCTAATGATGATAATAACTTATCATCATTTTTATGTCCTTCATTCTTAACACCAGAGGTGGGCTGAGTCTGAATTAGCCTACCTCAAATCAAATCAAATAAAATAAAATCAAATGATTTGTACTTTCTAATATGATTCCTATGCAATTTGAGAATCGAAACAACGCTGCAAGAACACACCTGGTGAATCTCTGACATCTCGGAGGAGGGCATGTTCATGACGTCTTCAGTCAGCCGCAGCGGCCGGTGCCGGGATGAGCAGCTCGGACCCCCGCCGCCGTCCTCCGTGTCGGGCCGTGCGTCCAGTTGGCCTGCCGGCACGCCGACCGAGGAGCAGGAAAACCGCACGTACACGTGGCCTGATCTCTCCCGTCTGTCATCTACGGTGATGGCGGGAGTTACGCAAAGCCCCGACCCGTCGCAATTTGCCCGAACGTGCCCAATGCACTGTAGTAGACAAACTACCGAAGCGAAACAAAGTGTGATCCACATTTTCACCTAGTTCTTCAAGGTAACGTGGGAACGATTTTTTTGGCCAAAATGCACGGACTATGTTGAACCTTTATGCGGGTAATGATTATTGAGTGCGTGATTTTCTCTAAAGACCCAAACACCATCTACAAGGTGCCAAAACCAAATGTGGGAAACATATAAGGTTTTATCCTCTTGTTTTTATTCACACACAATAATGTCGTCGGCGATCAGACCGGTGTCTGTGACTAGCTCATTCCACATGTTCTAGGAAATAGGAGTTCTTCATTCCAGGAAGGCCTGCGTGGGTTTACTGGAGAGCCCTTAGCAACAAGACAAACATGAACACATGAAGGCAATGCTGTTTCCAAGAAGAAAGGAAACCTATTAGTGGTGATAAGTCTGGTAAAAAGGATGCTATTTTCCGTTTTTTTCAGCAACAATCGGTGATTGTCTCGTTTTGGTCAACCAGACTTATCGTTGTTGAAAACATCAGAACTCAGACTAGTCTATCATGCCGACGGATGGTAAACTATCTAGCCATTGGATTAGGCAACTTACGGCGATCAGTTTACATCAAGTTTTCAACGTTCGTAAATTATAGACGTCTATAACTAGCTTCATGCAGCAAATCTTGCGAAGGCAATCAAAACCTGATATCATTGATCGTTAAGGAACATTATTACTGTTACGTGGTCATTGTCTGCCAAAAATCAGTCTTCTTTCGATTCGGTCTCATTTTGAAGGAAAGAATGGTGGGATCTGTTGAACAACAATCAGCACTTAAAAACTTTTACAACAGGATTGCGACACATGAGAAGTTTCTGGGCGCACGTACGGACCAGACTAATTACCTGTAGCTCTAGGCGTTTCCGACAAGCCGGTCTGCTACGTTGTTGTGCAACATTCAGACGTCCGTGCGTAAAAGGGGAAGGGTGGAAATTGTCTGCAACTGTCAGACTTATTCACGGTGCTGCAGTACCACTTCCACTTTGGGACCCTTTCTTCTAGTATAGTAGCTTCTACCGCCAAAATGTCTTATCTAACTGCAAGATTTACCATCGCAACGATTAGTGTACGAATAAGCCTTGTTCATATCCCCATTGGTTTCTTTAAGACTTTGGTCCTTTCGTTGGTCACATCTATTTTACCGATTACCTTTACATAAATGCAGGGATGTCGAGATTTCAGAGAAACGACTGGATGCATATTTATGACTCCTTTCTAGTTGTCTACGAACTTCTAGCCCCAAAAGTGCTGTTTTATCTCATCGTCAGTTTTGTCTTCTCAAGGATCAGTGTGCGAGGACTACCTGACCTCCTGTCCTTATCTCCATCAGTTTCTTTAAAATCAGGTTGTTTGTTAGATCAACAATACCTTTGCATAAATGCTGGCGCTGGGTTATAGAGATTTCGTAGAAATTGTTGGATGAATATTGATGAATGATAAGAAATATCGATATTCATCTGGAAACGACTTTTGACACTATAAATCAACATGAGCGCGCACAGTCTGCAGCTCCACAGGCAGGGCAGGTGCTATAGATGCTTGCTTCGCCGCAGTGCAAAATTTCCTGTCGCTATCATCTTCTAATTAGCGAGGTTTCCAGTGAAGTTTCAGCCCTTCCAATGCCTACTCTTTAAACCATTTTGCGACAACCTTTTCCCACTCTTTTCGAACAGCTAGTTGGTAAAATGCGAATTCTGTCCAGCTTCATATTTGTAGTCGTACTTGCCGGGAGCAAGGCTGATGTGTCCGGTTGCAATGGATTGGCACTCTGCCCAAGTCCATCTGTTGAGATCGAATTGCGGGTACCGAGGTATAACTTCGTCAAAGCGCGGATTAGGTGTTCCCGCATGAGGGAGACTCCCCAAACAACTCCCTCTAACGTTACCCTCGGCGGCAGCCAGGAGAAAGGGCCATGGCAACATGTGCCCCTCCACTGCCGGCCTGAACATGGCAGTGCGACGCTGTCAGCGAGCGCATTAGAAGAGATCCTCTCCGAACCTCCGACGAAGACCCAGGTGAGGTGATTCAGCAAATTGCTTTCGGTAGCAGTTTTAGTCTGTTGAAAAATGATTTCAGGGCCGAAGGATATTTCAAGGTATGTCAAGTCATTCCCACAGTCATATACAAAACGTTTACGGTTGACACGTCTTTCAAAGTGAATCAATCTGCAAAGAAGCTGATGATGGCAGGATGGCATCTGTCCCTGGTGCTGAAAACCTGGTAGGTCACTGATAGGTCATTTACACCTGGCAGATGTTTGGCGTGTGTGTGTGTGTGTGTGTGTGTGTGTGTGTGTGTGTGTGTGTGTGTGTGCGCGCGCGGGCGCGTGTGTGTGTGTGTGTGTGTGTGTGTGTGTGTGTGTGTGTGTGTGTGTGTGTGTGTGTGCGCGCGCGCGCGTATGTGTGTGCGTGTGTGTGTGTGTAGCTTTGAACTATCCATTTGTCGAAATGATCAATAGATTTTGTAAGGCCTGATTCTGATTTCAGGTGATGGAGTTGACGATGGAGTACGGGTCGGTTGCCGAGATTTCCGGGGCCCTGTTCAACGGAACCCCGAATCTCTGCCGCCTGACCATACGGGAGAACTGCCTGGCGTGTGTGAAGAGAGGCTGGTTCTTGGGACTTTCAAACCTACAGCACCTTAAGTTAATCAACGACGGGATCTCTCAGATCATGGATGACGCTTTTGAACACTTGCCCAAACTACAGGAGCTGAGTTTGGTGAGAAACAAAATCTCGCGTGTCCAGGCGTCTTGGTTCCGCGGACTTACATCGCTGAAAGAACTCGACTTAGATAAGAACCCACTTGTCAATATCAGTGACATAAACGCAGGCGTCCCTCCTTTTTATAAACCTACCACTGCTCAATGTTCTTCACTTGGGATATAGCAGTTTGTCCGTTTTATATCCCGAAAGTTTGATGAATCTGACTTCGTTAAGGGAGCTTTGGTTGATCGACAGTGAGATTTTCGGACATACACGAGGGTGCGTTCACCAGTATGATCACGTTAAAGACGCTTATTATGAGCGAGAATGCCATCACGACGATTCGCAAAGGTTACTTTTTGGGGCTTTCCTCAATTCGATCTCTTGATTTGTGTGCAAACGAAATTGCACACATCGAGGAAGATGGGTTTCTGGGGCTTCGTGACGCAATCAGCATAGACCTGTCCTACAACAAGCTGACGTTCATCCAAGCTGAGTGGTTCCGTAGATTAGATAAATTAAGGACACTGTATCTAAGCGGAAACAACATTTACGCCTTGGAAGCCCCCAAGTGGTTCGTGGTTCTGGACAAAAACCCACTGCGATGTTCCTGCGCATTCGTCTTGTTCCAAAGAAGAAATCTTCGGGAAAGGTTCAGAGAATACGACCAGCTGACGTGCCATGTACCCGGCGCATCTCCAACACGAGGCCGTCGCTAATGTTACCATGGACAAGGTCATCTGCCCCAGGCCTGCTGTCGTCTTCGACATCAAGGCAGACGGAACCCAGCAGAACATTCAGGACGGCTTGGGCGGGACATTTATCGTCAAGCCCCTGATGGCTGCACCAACATACAGAAATAAAACACTAGGACCGGGTTCGCGTCTATTTCAGGAAGGGCAGGGCGTGAACTTTGAATGTCGAGTGTACTGGGAAGTGGCTCCTCGTGTGACGGTAGCCTTACCAAGAGGGGCTGTATTCTCCCGTACTTTCAAACTCGGGGATGACCGAAAAGTTCTGACGGCAACACGGCCGGCTGAGATCACCATTATCTTCACACATTCTGTCAAACCAGAGGGATTTCGCGATCCTTTTGCGAGGAGGACTGCGGAAAACCGCGTCAGTTACTTGGGAAGGACAGACGTTGTCCTGACTGTTCACAACTTCACGTCAGAGTCAGCCGGTATGTACAGCTGCACTGCAGTCTCTGCGAAAAAGAGGAGGTCCGCCAAGCTGTCCGTGTCGCTCTTCAACCAGACTGCAGTCAGTTGGAAATCAACACCAGCCCCCCATGTGTCGCCGTCTGTGGGGCTACAGTTTAACAACTCTGACGGAAGAACAGTAGTGGCAACCGACAAAGACATTCAACGTACTACTACGCAATACAACACGGAGTTAACTAAGCCACAATTGAAGCACAATAGGAATCAACAGATTTACGTCGCAGCCATAGGAAGTTTTTGTGCCGTTGTGATTGGTGCCACCGTACTTTTGGTGTGTTTCGTGAAGAGGAGGAAGGCAAGACGTGACTCTGAAAACAACGACACAAACGCTACGTCTAATACGCTTTCCACTGGCAACACGCAAAGCGATCGTAACTCAGAAATTGAGCCTTATATGGTGCATTACTTCCTAGGAACGCCCGCACAACCCGGACGGAATGTTACGACAGAAGAGCCATTCTATGAGATGACTGAGAGTGTGGCGGGCAACAAAGGTAAATGTGCTACACTTGAAGGATCATCATCGTCAAGAATGAACGCTATCCGGGAAGAAGCGATGTCTGACGGAGGCAGTAATTCACAGAGGGACGACTCTAGCAACAGGGAGCCGTTTTATGAAATGCATGAACAAACTGTGTTGGATCAAGACGAGACTCCTTCGGCGGAGGATGGAAAAGCCAGCCAGGCAATAGCACTCCCTGCCGAGTGGTCAGCAGTACACGTACCCGGTGATGATGACTTGATTTACGCCTTCATAGACGACAGTGACGCAACTACAGCAAAAGATGCAGGAACCAGCGGCGACCCGGCTGCTGAACACCACCAGGACATTGACGACGCAGGAAACGCGATGAACGTCACTGAGCCTGACCAGGGCATCAGCGAAAGCGAATTCAACTCAACTCAGACGACATTGTCCGAAACCGATCGCGTCGATTCGTGGGAAACCTTACCAAAGAGTCTTATCGCTAGAGGCATAGACGGTGATGGCGATGACGACAACATGGCGCATGCCGGAAAAATAAAAGACGGTGTCGAAGGCTACACACCCGAGTTTGGAGGCAGGAATGCTGACCTGACGGAGAGAGACGTCACTACTAATGATCAACACGAGGTTGATGATGGACATCTTTACGAAAATAAGGACACGACAACGGGCTTTGTTCAGCCTAGTCAGGATCAGATCGCCGACAAAGACGACGTCAACATAAGTGGAACAAAAACAGACAACGACAAAGGTTCCAAGAAAAGCGTCTCAAACGTTTGCGGAGACAAAGACAGCGGAGGTGAGAGCTTAAGCTATGCTACAATAGACGAAGATTTAGAAGGCGGCGAGGTGGTAGGTCAAAGGTGCACCTGGACAAAACCAAATCAGGACACTGGAGATGGGGCAGCTCCAGACAAAAATGTGACAACAGAAGCCGTAAAAAACGACGACGACCAGGATACATGTGACTCAGAACACGGTTATGAAAATGAGGCAATGGTACATTCAACTCAGTTTGACAGAGACACCAACGAAGACGTCACCAACATGATTCAGAACAAACTGGACACAAAGGACGGGATAAGTTCACAGGAAAACTCCCCAACGACAAGTCAAAGAGACAGCATTGCTGACTACGTCACTCATGTTGCCATAGAGGACGATTCGGACGAGGACGACTCAGCAGTTCTGACAGACATCGGGAAAAATCCAAGTGCCCGGAACATTGGAGATCCAGAGGCACGAAACTCAACCTTAACAGCTGAAGATCCAACCACCAAAGACGACGCATATGATGATGGGCATGTTGGTATTAGTGGAACAAAAGGACACTGGCAGTGCGCCTTTCAGCCTGCCCAAGATACCAACAAAGACAAAATCAACTCAATTCGGAATAACACAGATACAAACGAAATGAAAGATCCGAACAGCTTGGCAAAAGTACACAGCTTGAATACTGAAGATGGGCCGCACCAAAACCAGACAATAACAAAGGACGATCCGGACACATTTGATGATGAACACCCATATGAAAATGAAAAGGAGACTGGCCTTGCAGGGTATTCGATGAACACCAGTCAGTTTGACAATAATATGGCAGAAACCGAAAGCAAGGGCAAAATGGACGCTGCACCAGAAACCTTACCAGCGAACCCAAGAGACAGTTTGAGTGACTACGTCACACATGATGTAATAAACGACGATTTCGAGAGCGACGAAGCGTCCGGGCGAAGGGCAAGTCAGGATGACTGGGACAGGGGAGACGGGGAACACCGGAACCAAACGTTGGCATCAGAAGATGGAAAAACCGATGGCGATTCGGACGTATTTGAAGACGAAAACATTTACGAAAATGAGGACGACGCAAGAGGACATTTAGACCGGGACACCGGGACTTCTGCTGTAACATACGATCCTGACAGTGAAGAGGCGGTAGGTCGAAGGTACACGTGGACAAAACCAGACGGTTGGTACATCGGAGGCGAAACTCGCCAGAACCAACCGCTAACATCCACAGAAGTAAGACTGAATGACGACCAGGACACATATGACGATGAGCACCTGTATGAAAATGAAAATGAGATAGCAGGACATTCGGTGGCAAAAACAAAATGATTTCATGATTCAGGTGAAACTGGTAATATTAAAACCACAGAAGAACACAACAATACTAGCCGTGTAAGAAGAATGTATGTCACCAGCGGGATGTGAAGAGAGGTAACTATAAGTAGCAAAAATTAATTAATTAGTCAATTAGCAAAAATTAATCAATTAGCAAAAAAGGGTAAGTTCTTGTAACTACTAGTAACTATAAGTAGATGCAGACATAAAGAGACAAGACTTCAAATAGTTCAGACAGGTACTTTTATAGAAACTATAAATCTTTAGCAATATTTGAACGTCTCGTATATTTTAGACATGTCACCTACAGTTACGTTACAAAAAGTATTCTCTGATACTACTGTACAACACTTCCTGTTTTCTTCCTTTCTTTTTTGGCGGATGATAGTAGATTGTCTTGAGAGGTTGTTCGAGAGATTGTACTTAGGAACCACCAAAACGTGTCATCTATCTTAGCATTTCACTATCCGTACAAAAAGTCGAAAGTAAAAATTTTAAGTCGAAGGTAAAAATGTTATACATGTTATGTTATAAAGTTAAATTGACTGTTCCATTTACATTAATGTCTCATCTCACCATGACGAGGTTTCTTCATAACTGATACAGAGGAATGACTATGGTGTTGCTAAGAGTTGTATTTCAATAAACATCTGGTTATAGCTGTGAAAGTCTGTTAAACTGTTCATTTCTTATCTACTAGTACTCCCTGGTGATCTCTAATAAACGTGACATGTGCCGAAATAGTCGCTACATTTCCTGGCAAGGATGAATTGTCGTGCATATTGTGGTTTCGCAGCGCCCCCTACCGATGTTGTAGCTGGTACAGGTAAAGCTGCGGCAAGTAAATTTTATGGATGACATCCTCTGCAGACTCCAAATCTAAATGCGCGCGATAGGGCGAAGAAAAAAGGCGGGCAAAAAAAAAACCCACAACAACAACAACAACAAGATTCCTATATTTTCAAATTTTGACATATCATGAACCTCGTCAAACAAGAATTCATACCTATATTGTGCTATAAGTTTACTGCCAACTACTAGTTTTACACATACTAAGGAGGTTAAATTCACATATATATCTCCAGGAAATAACTCAGAGCCTTGTCTTGTCTCCTCTCTGGACATTGAACCGCATCCCTGTCAAAATGTCACATTGAAAGACGTATTAAATGTCAGAAAGATCGATAAATACAAACCAAAACGCGAGCAATACGACTAAATAAAGCAATACATCTACTCTAAAAGGTTAAGTACGGTAAAAAAAAAAGCCAGGAAACCCACGTACGAAAACAAAGCGAAGCCATACATCTGCTTGAAGATATTTCACTTTCTCCTCACGTCACGCCAGGACCGTAAGTGAAAGTGACCGATAAATTATGCAAATAGCCTATTCGACGTCACGTGGTCTACTATATACACGGCTCGCGCTGTCAAATGGTAGCGGTCCGCTGAGCAGACGACCGGCCTGGCGTTTCGGATTGTTTTCTGCTATTTGCATCTGTTTTTGAAGGTAAGTCTCGTTTTTCTTAATGCTGTCTGCTAGGTAGTCATCACGGAGGAACAGCCGAGTGCAGTATAACTTCCGAGCGGCTTCCGACATTGCGGAAAAATGTGGTGCAGTGTCGCCTGCCGGGCGCGCTGCAGGCCGCTTCAAGTTTCCATCATGGTGGAGGAGGAGGGTGTGTGTGTGGTGTCGATTTCCTCGGTGTCTCCGAAATTTGTCTCCGAGATGGAGTTTCTGATAAAAGCACAAGAGCATCAGTTCGCCTCATGGCTGTGACCACACGGTTAAGTTCCATGTGTCAGGGTAAACGAGGAGCTGTCATCTTTTTTTCTAGGACTTCGCTTTGGGTCCGACCTTTTGTGAGGGAAATATCGTCGGACAGAC